ATTACAGGGATAAGCCACCATGCCTGCCTTTTCTTTCTTTTTTTTTACTCAGTGTCTTGCCCTGTCACCTGGGCTAGAGTGTCATGGCAACCTCAAAGTGAAATCCTCCTGCCTCAGCCTCCCGAATAGCTAGACTACAGGCATGAACCACAGAACCTGGCTAATTTTTTATTTTTATTTTTAGTGGAGACAGGGTCTCATTCTTGTTCAAGCTTGTCTCAAACTCCTGGCCTCAAGGGATCCCCCTGCCTCACCCTCCCAACAGACCTGAGCCACTGTTTTCTTTTTTATTAAAGCCATATAAAATTCTATTGTCTGTACTAAATTTATTTAATAAGTCCCGTATTAATGGGCATGTGAGTTATTTCTAATATTTTGTTATTACTAATAATAATGCCTTAATAAGTAACTTCATATATTCATAATTTACTATTATATACAAGTGTATCTGTATGATAAACTCCAGTGCTGGGGTTGTTAGGTCATGTATTTATAATCTTGATAGGTATTGTGAAATTGTCCTTCACAAGAGCATAAGTCAGAGCAGAGGCTGAAGACTGGTTGTCCATTGCCCTGCTTTGTTTGGCCTGTACAGTGTAATGTGCTTTACAAGGTTAATTGGTAATTTTTATGTTGACAAAGAAGTGAAGCAAATGGAACATTTATACTCTGCTGATAGGAGTGTAAATAACTATGACCATTTTGGCAATTTCTTTTTATCTTAGCCAAGCTGGAGTGTAGGGGCTGATCCTCAAACTCTTGGGCTCAGATAATCCTTCTGCTTCAGCCTCCTGAGTAGGCAGGATTACAAACATGTGCCACTATTACTGGCTTTTGCAGTTTTTTATCAAATTAAACATATGCCCATTCTGTTGTATCAGTTAGGGTTCAATCAGAGAAGCAGAAGGAATTTGTTACAGAGAGTTGACCTTAGGTAATTGTGGGAGCTGGTTAAACAATCTTTGCAAGCCTATGATTTTTGCCTCAGATGCTGGAGCTTATAGTCCATAGGTCAGGCAGTTGGAAAAAGAAGATGGATAAAACTCACATGTCCATTAATAGAGGACTTCTTAAAGGGGAAGAGAAAGGACAAGATGAAACCCATGAGTAGAAGCTGGACTCCTCAAGGATAAAGTGAGACTCATGTCAGTTTCTGATTGCCCCCAAACTTGATCATGTGGATGAACTACCAAAGAAGATGGCACCCTCTGGCATCTGGCCCAGGAATCGGAGAAGTGAAGAGGTATTCAGGGAAATGGGGACCAGTTTCAGGTCTTGGTGCAATCCTGCATCAACGTGAGCCAGCAGGTCAGCAAGCTCCCTGGAGCTTGTGAATGTGAAATCCAATACTGCTGCTGCTTTTCTCCCACCCTTCAAATCTCATTCAAAAATGACTGCTGTGTCTAGCCTTAATTGGAAACATGTGTGAAGGAGAATTTGGGAAATGTAGTTAACTCCAGCTATGTTGACACATAGTAAAGCCACATGGCTATGTTCCAGCAATTCCATTCCTAGATACATACTCAGGAAAGATGTACACATATGTTTACCAAAAGACATGTACTAGAGTGGAGTACATATTAATTTTGTGTTGGGCCTCTTTTATTCCATATTGTGAGAATCATTCATGATGTTGCATGTATTTAGTGGGGTGTTCTTTGTCATTGATGTATAAAATACCACTGTATGCATATAGTGCAATTTATTTATTCTATTGGAGTTTTAAAATTTATTCTATTATTGATAGACATTAGGGATATTTCTAATTTTGGGCTATTACATGTGATGCTACCATGAATATATTTGTATACATGTCTTCTGGTGTACAATGAAGAGTAGAATTACTAGGTCATAGGCTTGGCATTTGTCGGTTTTATTAGGTGCTGCCAAGCAGTTTTCCAATGAGATTATAGTTATTTAATTTTTATTAAAAGAATAGGGTCCAGAATACCATGTGTTTAGAACTAAAGCATGCATTTTACATGTGCTCCATCTGTTTCCTAACCTGGAGTTGCTCTTAATTCCTTTCTGTATTTCCCATGTCCCCAGAGGGCCTGGGATGGGCCTGTGGCTTCCCTTTCCAGAATCATGTAGCTCTGGTAAGGAAGGCTCTTTGCACAGAATGCTCCTAGTCTTGACAACAACTTCATTGTTGGCATGCCCTTTTCTTGGTACACAAGCGCATTGGGCAGTGATTAGGTAGCAATTGAACAGCTATGTAACTTCTGTCCTGACTTCCTCCTAGAATGAAGGCTCTCATTTTCTTCTGGTGGCTTTCCAGAACCATCTGTGGCCTTCTTGGGAACATATAGTATCTCCAGGAACGGGGAGCTTGGTATTTTAAGTCCTTTGAGCAGGTCAGACTGCCAAGCCCCTGGGAGTGTGAGAAATATTAGGCAGGGACAGGAGGCCACAGTTCTTTTGTGTAGTGTTTGTTCCACCTTAAACTGGGAGTGCTTTCCACTCGACACAGCCTAGCACCATAACTTGTTTATCATATACACTCAGTCAATATTTGCTGAAAGGAGTTGACAATTAAGAAATAACCCAAGCAGTGGGTAGTAAGCAGCTAGTCTGTGTGTCTGTGAAAGCTCACACCAGAAATGGTTTTGAAGAGGAGTTGGCTAGAAAGACTATTAAAAAGGTAGGTTTTGGTTCGGTGCCTGTGGCTCAAGCGGCTAAGGCACCAACCACATACACCTGAGCTGGCAGGTTCAAATCCAGCCCAGGCCCACCAAACAACAATGACAGCTGCAACCAAAAAATAGCCAGGTGTTGTGGTGGATGCCTGTAGTCCCAGCTACTTGGAAGGCTGAAGCAAGAGAATCGCATAAGCCCAGGAGTTGGAGGTTGCTGTGAGCTGTGATGCCACAGCACTCTACCCACGGCGACAGCTTGAGGCTATGTCTCAAAAAAAAAAAAAATAGGTTTTAACCTGGTTGAGGAGTGGGTGAACTTTTACTATGAGAAGACAGTGGAAAGGGCTTTCCAGGTTAGAAAGTAGCATAAGGAGGGTGAGATCATAAAACGAAACATCTGCATAGACCCAGATAATAATCTTGAGAAATAGGGATTGGTAAGGACTATGGTAAATTGATGTGCTCCTAAAGGGGTCTATAGTGTCAAGGCTGAAATGTGAGTATATCCTTTTAGATCTTCTGATATTTCAAACGAAGCCTGGAAGGGTCACTGGAGCCCAGGCATTCCAAGCTGCAGTGAGCCATGATGATCATGCTACTGCACTTCTGCCTTGGTGACAAAGCAAGGCCCTGTCTCTAAAAATAAAGAAAGAAAAGAGCCCAGAAAGCAGTTTGCTATTTTTCCTGATTCCAGAAGAAAAGGAGGAGGAAATAATTATCTAAAAAATCACTACGTGGGCTCAGCGCCGTTGCTCAGTGGTTAGGGCGCGGGCCACATGCACCAGGGCTGGCAGGTTCAAACCCGGCCCGGGCCTGCTAAACAACTGCAACAAAAAAATACCAGGCTGAGGCAAAAGAATTGCTTAAGCCCAAGAGTTGGAGGTTGCTGTGAGCTGCGACACCATAGCACTCTACCGAGCGCGACATAGTGAGACTTTGTCTCAAAAAACCAAACAAAAACCCCAATCCCTATGTGGGCTAAACAAAATACATCTGTGGGCTACTTTGGACTGTCAGCCAACTTTAGACCATGAAGAAAAGAATTAACATGGGAATACATTGACGGAGATAGGGGAGAAGTGGGGCTCATGGACGGTGGGAGTGGTCAGCTTGAATCAGAATGTGAAAAGTTCCCAGTGTTAGCACTGGAAGAGTGTCTCAAACGCCAGAGAGCGCACCGATCACCCAAAATGCTGCTTGAGTTTATGAAGCTTTGCTGGAAACAGTCCGAGTGTAGAATGCTTTAGAGCCGGGTGGGAGTAGGGGTGGAGGGTGAAAGGGATATGATGGAAACTATAGCTCAGAAAGACTATTTTGTCAACAGTGTGCAGATAGGAGGCCAGGAGACCTGTTAGGAGACACGGGCATCGAGAGGAGAGTGGGTAGCCATGAAAGCTCTTTCTGAGGCAACGACCCCGGCCCTTCTTGCAGGAAGCTGGCCTTCAGCTTCTCAGGCTGTCTCTCTTCTAGCTCCATTGGATGGGTGCTCCTTTCTTCGGGCACTTTGGGGAACCCGTCCCAGCCAGTGAAATGTATGTGAGGTGTATACAAATCAGCCCGCGGAGCCATGGCAAGAACCCCTGAAGACCCAAGGGCCACGCCTCTCGTTCCCCCGCGCTGTGGAGACGCCCACATCCCATCCCGCGGTGCTGAGCTAGGCGCATCTTGCTGCCATGGCGACCGCCTCCATGGAGACCTGGAGCAGAGGCTGCGGTCCCCAGGGGCACTGGCACCAGCTTTCCCAACCCCCATGCTGCGTGCCTTCTTTGTTCTGATGCTTATCCAGGTCGGGCCGGGCTCCCAGGACGCTTCTCCGGCCTGCGCTGAGAGCTTCCTTCGCAACAGGGGATAGAGCGGAAAGGGAAGAGGTTGAAACCCAGGGGTCGCAGAGTGGGAAGGATGCAGGGTTCCTCGGCTACTGGACAGTACTAGCCTGGCCAGTATGGATTGCTAATGTGGGCGGGGAAGTCTAGGGAGAGAGGCAACCTTCAGGTGCTCCACTTGTACCTGAATCCTGACTTACGGTCGCTGGAAGGAACATAATTAAGGGGAGGCCCTGCCTAAGTACAGACTTTGGAGGCAAACCCCAAATCGAAGGCGGGGCGAGGGCGTGGCGGATCAGAGGCCCTCCTTCCCCCTCTTTCTTCTGCCCAATTCTGGCCCCTGGCTAGGACAGGCGGCCTGGCAGCTTTCATCGCGAGAATTCGCTTGGCCTTGGGTGATCGAGAACGCACAGGACGCAGCCGCAGCCGCAGCCGCAGCGCCCCCTGCACGTGACGCAGGTGGCTCACCGCCCGTTGGTTGTTCTCTAGAGCCCGCTTATTGGTCCGAAGCGTTCCTCGCCCCACCCCCTAGCCGACCAATGGGCGGAGGCGGGGGCGTGCCGTGGGGCCGGCGGCCTTGGCGCGGAGCTCCTTTCCTCGTGCTCCGCGTTGAACCCCCGCTGCCGCTGCCGTCGCTGCTGCTACAGCTGCGGTCGTCCCTGCCCGGCCCAGCCCCGGGGTGCACCCCCACAAGGTGAGAATGTCCCTCTTCTCCCCACTTCCCAGTTCCGCCCGGCTTGCCGAGATCCCTTTCCGCCCCCAGCCCAGTCCTGAGAAGTGTCTGGGGTCCCACCAGCAGTCATTGCAAAGGTGGGGAGGGGGGCTCTCTGTCCCGGCCCGGCCTGGAGGACTCCTCAGCACCTGGGCTGGGGTTATGGCAGGTCCTCGGGATGCAGTGATCGTTAGCTGGTGGAGCAGGGGTGTTTTCCGCAGGGCACAGTGGGGGGCACGAGTGCCACGGTGAGGGCGGGGGTGTAATGGGGTCAGCGCCCCCTAGTCCCCACGACCCCACTGTTGCCGCTGCCTTGCTGCGTGACCTTGGACAAGTAGCGTCGTTGAGCCTCCAGTGCCTCAGCACCCTAAGGAAGGAGGGAGGTGATGTCTGGGAGTGCGGGCTCCTGAGGCTCCTGCGTCAGCCGAGGTGAGGGTGAGGAATGCACTGGAGGATTATCTCTGAGGGACATAGCCTTCGGATCGCAACTCGGACTGGGTGTGAGAAGGGGACATCCAACTGCATCCCCCCCCCAAGCGAAGACGAGAATAGGGTGGGGATGGAGGTGCCACACCCACGGGGATGGCGGCTGAAAGACAAACAGAGCCCTACACCTGCGTGTGGTGACACGGGACAAGAGGGATTGGATTTAGGTTTTGGACCAGCATTCCTGCTAGTGATCAGTTCCCTGATGGAATCAGAAGAAAGGTCTCGGTTTGCCTTTCATCTTGAATCTTGGCTTTGGGAAGTGGGGGTAGGGCGCTTCTCTGCCCCATGGAACTGAAGAAGGTGAGGGGGCAGCTGTCATCTCCTAGACTCAGTGTGGGTCCTCCTCTGGGTCACAGGCCGGGGAGAAGGCCTCACTGAGGCGTAATCTGGAGTATGGAGGAGCTGAGCATCCTCTAGCTGAGGGTAAGGTAAGGGAGAATACTGGACAAAGGAGGGCAGCACTTGTTGAGGAGATGGGAGGGTGTGGGATCGTGGGAGTCTCTTCTCCATTTCACCCTCTGCACCTGACTGGTTGTGGGAGAGAGCACACCCATGCTTATCCTTGTACCTTTGGCCTGGTGAAGGGAGGAAGAAATAAAGTCGAATCAGGCCTGAGTTGATGTAAAGCTGCCACAGCCACACCTGACCTCCAGCCTTGTCTTTCCACGCCTATTCTGTGTCCCATCCTATGTCAGGTTCTGGGTGTCCCTATCTCAAGGCTTCAGTGTGCATTCTTTTAACATGTTTGAGCTTTAACACATTGACTGCTACACAAGAAAAGAAATTTTTTTCCTTGGGGCCATGGTGTTGTATTAGGTCAAATGCATTAACTGCCATGTGAGTTGTATTTATCTTTACTTTTGAGCCCTGGGCCTTGGGAAGCATATATAACTCACACTTCTCTGGACCTAATAAAACATTCTGGCCCAGGGAAAAATTTTTTTCTAGTGTGGAAGTCAGTGTATAAGAGAAGTGGGAATTATATATGCTTTACCAGGCTCTGGGCTTAATAGTAAGTTAAAGAAAACTCACACGGCAGTTAATATGTCTACGGGAGGTGGAACTGTGCTGTTTCTAGACTTCAATGCTCTAACTAGTACAGAGCCCCAGGCTGGGGATAGAAGAGGAAGAGTTGGGAAGGTGGAAAGCTGTAGAATTCTTGGCTCAGAGCAAGTCCTCATACAAGGTTGAGAATGGGAACTGAAGAAGGAATGAGAAATCAGGTTTCAAAGGTTGGGGTATGTCCCCAGACATACAGTAGAGGACAAGCTGGGGCTGGCCCTGTGACACAGCTGCCTTTGGGGAAAGGGATGGTGTGAGTTGGGGGGCAAGAGGGTGGCAGGTTTGGGAGTTCCACTTTGCCATGGATACACTGCCTTTGGCCCTCCTTCCAGTCTACGGCCTTGGGCCCTAGTGTGGGATATCCTGGAGTAGTAGGAGTGCCCTGTGGGGTGGGAGTCTAGTGTGACGGGAATTCTGGGTTCTTGTGTAACTGTCCATCTACCAGCCCACTTGCCATGTCCCTGGGTAAGGTAGCCTTGAAGCAGCCTTTCTCTCTGAAGCTGAGCAGGACTGAAGCTGGTAGTGCTCTATCCCCCAGAGGGAAGATCCCCCAGATTTCCTGAGAACAACCAAGAGCAAAAGAAGTCCCCAGGGCTCTTGACCCAGCTTTCTAGTCCTTTCCATCTTGTGATTGTCCAGGGTTCCACCCCTGACGTTTCAACAGTCCATCCAAGGGGGAGGATATAATTTTTTTTTTAATTTTGCTGGGAGGAGGGGTACCATGTTCCTCCCTGTGCAATTCCCAGGACATACATTCACCACATCTTCCTTTAAGCCCCTCTGGCTGGACCAGGCAGCTCCCAGCAGTCTGCTCTCTTGCCCTCCCTAGGGGCCTAGCTGCCTTGGGATGGGAGATGGGAGGGCAAGAGGAGGGAAGGGATAGGGAGGCCCCCTCAACTCTTGAGCTCTTTTCCAAGAAAGCTGAGATCCCTGGGGGCTACTCTGAGGGCCACTCCTGGCTCCTTCAGGGTTGACCTGAAATGCCTCTCTGCAACAGTACTGCTGAAATGGCTGTTGCGTTAGAAACCAGGCCTTTCGGGTTTTCTTTGCAGAGGTGAGGGGTGGTGGGGGGTTGTCACAGAGCTTCAGGCACAACTGCACCAAACCCTGGGTGGAAGAGGCCACTGCTTATTCCTGCATTACAGATTAGGAAACCGAGGGACAGGGAAGTGAAATAACTTGTCCATATAGCCAGCAAAGGCAGAGCCTAAATTTGAACTAGGACTGCTACCTCTTGGGGGCTGTGTGGCTTGGGCCATGGCGAAGACTTGGCTGGCACAGGAGGAGGCTGGAGGCAGGGCTGGGTTTGGTTGCATGGTGGCCTAGAAGTTCTCTGTGGCTGCATCAGGGGAGGCCCAATGCCCTCCTTTCCTGCTTCTGATGGGGAATTGTGTGTGGGTGAGAGTCTAGCTCCTCAGGGACAGGGACCAGCATGTTCTCTGTTGAGAAAGGACGTTGGTTTTTTCCAGCCTCCTTTGGCCCCTAAAGTCACTTGCCTCCTCCCTCTGTGTTCTCAGTGTCGGAGGGTTACAGGAGGTCCTGGGTGTCTGTGCTGTACTGAGTGCTGGGCATGGCATGAGACATGGATCCTGCCCTCAGTGAGCTTTCCATCTCAAGGGGGGCACAGACAGGTGACCAGCTGACTGGAGCAAGGGCAGTGGGAGGAATGCCCTTTGGGAGGTCACTCTCTGTGAGGGGGGAGGAGAACACCATCTAGGGTAGGGGTTAGCTAAGAGAGTGGGGTGGGGAGTTCCACTTCCTGAGTGCCTCCGGAACAGAGGCTGCCCTGACCACACCACATTTGCCTGGAGGGCCTGGCCAAGCCCCCTTCTGGGCTCCCCTTTTGCGCTTGTTCTGTCAACTAATATATAGTGAGCACAAGGGGTTGCACCTAGTACTGGGGACATGGGGCTTGGCAAAATTGCTGTTGCTGCCCTTACAAGGTGGTGAAGACAGATAACAAATGATCTTTACAAGAAAGGGGATCTTGTAAAGAGTTTCAGTCCTATTGTGCAATTTGAGCGGGGGGTGCGGTGGGGGGGAAGGCATTGCTGAGACCCCATTTGAGGTTTGTTCCCTGGGAGGGACAAGGGATTATTTTGGGCTGAGGGGCTGGCCAGAGCAAAGTGGGCAGGGGCTAGGCAGTGGGCTTAGGGACTGAGGGAAGATAGAGAACAGGCCCTGCATGTACTGGGTCAGTTCTGGGTCAGCATGTTTTGTGAGAAGGGCCCCTGGAGCCTTTGCTCACCCTGGTTAAGAGTTTCACCTGGGGCCGGCATTCTTCCTTTCTTTCTTTGGGGTGCCACACCATTCTCTCACTCTTTTCCTACCCCTCCCCAATCTTTTCCTCTCTCACTTCCTGCTCTCTGCTTTCTCATCTCTTTCCCCCACTCTATTCTCTCTCTGTAATATAAAATAAATTTATACTTCTAAAAAAAAGAGTTTCTCCTGGGCCTCCAGGAAGTGTCCTAGGAGATAGGAGGACTTGGACATTGGCCTGTCACTGCCCCATGGCTGCAGAGGTATGGCTGGAGTAGGCTCTGCAAGGTCTGAGGAGGGCCTGGCAACCTTGCCCTTGGCCATTTGTCACATGCTCTGAGTCCACAGTTTCAGGGGCTAGCTGGGGTGGGTGGGTTAGGAGGCAGTTTCTGGGGTCAAGCTCTTCAAGACAAACTGAGCATTTCAGGGCTGAGATGACTAACCCCAGTCACCTGGCCAGAGGTGAGTAGGTCATAGATCCCCTCCCTGAACCCTGGGCTGGGGCCTGGGAACCCATCTTGGCACTGGCCTGGGGCTATTCATACCTTGGCCTTCCCGAATTCCAGAGGCCAAGACTTGCGCTTGCCTGCTTCTCTCTAGGACTCCTTATACCAGAGCTCCTGGTACCCAAGCTCTGAACACCCTGCCCATGAGGTGGAGCTTGGGCCGGGGTGCACCCTGTGGAACTGAGAAGTGGGGAGGAAGGTGAGGTCACACCTGCTCCCAGGGCAGCTCGGCACCTGGGGGACCTCAAAGTCATGCCCTCAACAGGCCCAGCTTCAGACTTTAAGGCTGCCCTGTGGCTTCTCTTCAGTCCCTGGGCTGACTAGCCAAGGTCACTCACGGGTCACTCAAATCTAACTACTTGTGTGTTTGTCTCTGAAAAAAATAAGAACGTACTTCTCTACATAATATAATTCCACCATCTCACCTAACAAAATCAACTCATTTCTTAGTGTCATCTCATTCTGTCATTCACATTTCATGATTATCTCCCAGTGTTTGTTTATTTAACTAATGTTTTTCTTTCTCTTCTTTTTCTTTAAAGGCCATCTCGGTTAAAGAAAATGTCTTTTTTGTAATTAGATAGAAACCTCCTCCCCCACTTAACTTTTCTTCTTGCAGCTGATGTGGTGAAAAAAACCAGGTCATTTGCCCTGAAGATTCTCCTGTCTTCTTGGTCTCTGAAGTGTGTTCATTTAGAACAGAGGTTGGCAAACTTTTTCTGTGAAGGGCCAGACAGTAAATAGTTTAGACTTTGGTCTCTGTCACAACTACTCAGACTAATCTTGTTTTAGTGCAGAAGCTGTCATAAACAGCATGTAAACAAATGAGCGTGGTCGTGTTCTATTAACATTTTATTTATAAAAATCGAGTGGCAACTGTTGGCTTCCACATGTAAAGCAATCTTTCCTTTTTTATTAATTCTTGCAGTTGGAAAAAAACAAAATAAAACAGATCAGTCGTCCTTGCCTTCTGGGTTTATCTCATTACTTTCTTGTGAAGTCATTTAATTTGTTCCAGCATCCTCTGTGTTTTCAAGTGCATGAGAAGTTGGAGTTAGAGGCTTGTTTTTAGATCCAGGTTAAACATATTCAGCAGGAGGGTGGGGATTTGATTTTTGTCAATGATGCTGTGACTTTGGGCTGCCTCATGTCAGGAGGCATCAGTACATCAGGGTGTCCTACAGAGAGTGAGGGGAGATGGACCCATATGTGACTGGGTGTGGTCACATCCCTTCATTGCAAACATGTGTTATTCCACTGTAAGAATAACGCCAGATCACCTGTCGAAGGCACTCGGGCCTTTGTAAGTGTATTTGTCCCTTCGACTTCTCCCCTCAGGGTTTAGCATCCACTGCCTCTTGGTGCCTCCGGCATTTGTTTCTTTAGGGGCTGCAGAATGACTTAGCATTTGGCCATTCCTTTGTTATTTATTAGCAGGAATTCTTCTGTAAAGTGGTTTTCTGTCAACCACCAGGGCAATTTAGTTCCAAGAAAGGCCAAGAGACAGGCTGAATTATTTCTTTTCAGTTGCCAGTTTTCAGAGGAGAGTTAGGGTCATTGCTACTGTCATTGGTGACATATGAGGGTTTGGGTTTGTTTGTTTTGCTTTCTCCATTTTTAATAATCTCCGCAGATGCTCTGCATTTATGTATTCTATCTGTTTCTATCAGTTGCTCTCATTCTTTTTGATGCTGAGATGGCCCCAGCCTGGCTCACTGGAGGCTCCCTGGGGAACATGGAGGCTGCCTTGGGGAACAGAGCTGGGAGGCCACCTTGCGGCTCAGGCCAGACTCCGAATGGTGGATTGAGATGGGGGATATCCCTTCCATGAACATCTCTTCTGTATATGGCCCTAACAGATCACCAGGAGGGAAAGCTCTGAGGACATGTTTATTTTATGTGGTCCCCATTCCTGTCCCTCACCAAGCACACTGTTAGCTCTCACCTCCACCCTGCTGCACTGGGTGTGTGACCTGAATAATGTGTCCTTCAGATCTAGCCTTCAGAGTCAGCAGCACCAGAACTGGCCCCTGGAAGGTACCAGTAAAGTCTCCCTCCTTTCCAGGTTGCTCTTCCTGCCAGCCTCAGGCAGGCTGGACATAAGAGTCCTTTAGCACCTGGAAGGGGCAACCTAGCACGAGCTAGCAGGGCCCTGGGTCAGTGTGGCATCAGGCAAGGGTGAAGGCTCTTGGTGAATGTGGGTAGTGGGTGGAAAATGAGGCAGAAGCCCCTGGTCTGGTTGATGCAGGCACCACTTAGGCTGCTGGGAGCAGCAGGGGTTTCCTAAAGGGAGCTCCTCTGCTTTCCCCCATTGGTGGCCCTGACCGCTGCCTTATCTACCCTCCCCATCCTTTAGGCTCCTGCTGGTGTCCTTGGAGCATGGGAGGCTGCTGAGCTTGAGTGGTGGTGTCTGGTAGGAGCTGCGTGTCTTGCCCTGTGGCAGGGAGGGCGTCCATGGCTGCAGCCAACAAGGGTAAGTCCTTTCCTGGCCTGGCAGAATTTGTACACACTCTTCTAGTGGGCCCTGGTAAGGAGAGTCATTGTTGTAGGTGGGACCTTTGTTGGCTCTGTGTGTGTGTTTGTAATTCAGAATATATTAGTGTTTGTGCTAGGTTCTGGGACCCCTGCTAGCAGTTCTTTGGCATGCTGGTCTGTGGAGGTGTGTGCTCTTGTGTTCCTGTGTTCCAGTCCCCTGTTCACTGTGGGGGTTGATGGGGCATGAGGGGTTTATGGTGATTACCAAGCCTGGGCAGGGTCACAGCAGCCTGTGGAAGGGAACTTGGATTTCATTCAGAGTCCAGAAGAGCTAATTGAGGGAGGGTCTTTGGCAAAGGAGACACAGTAAGATTTGAGGGTCAGTCTGAGGGGGTATGGATGGTCTCTGCCTCCTGTCCCAGAGCCCAACCCAAAGCTGGCAGGCCCTTCCACCCAAAGGACTCTGAGCAGGGCTCTTGGGAGCCCTCATGGCTGGGGGTCAGAGGGGATCAGGGTCATGTTCTCAACCTTCCCCAACCCAAGTGTCCATTTAGGCCAGGCCCTTAGGCTGGTTCTCCACCACCTTGCTTTCTCAACCCTCTGCCCTTTCTAGCCCTGGAGAATCTGACCCAGCTCAGGCTCAGCTGAGAGCCTTGGTGGTGGGCTGAGCAGAGGAAGGGGGAAAGTCTTGGGGTGGGAATGGGGTCTGGAGATCCCCTGGGTTCCTTCTTCTTACCTGTTGGTGAGCAGTGGGATGAGTATGTTTCGTGACCTCTTTTTTTCTCCTACCCCAAGCAGGTTTCCTAGAGCCCATTCCTGTCCCTACCCTGCCACAGTAGGGTGGTCAGGAGGGTAGGCAGGGGCTTCATGGGGGAGGGCACTGGGTTGAGCCCTGCACTCCCCAGTCTTGGTGAGTCTGGGGGATTGTCCCTTCCCATTTCTGGCACCAGCCTCATCCCCTCCAAGTAAGGGGTTGTATTAGTCAATCTCTGAGTTCCCCCATGCTGTTGTAGGGAGGGGCATTTCTGTGGGAGAACTTGGCAGATAGAGACAGGATGGGGGCCTCAAGTATCTTCCTAGCCTGAAAGAGCCCAGCCAGTAGGTGCTGGGTGGTGTCAAGGGCAGTCTTGGGGGTGGGGGAAGTAATTTCCTGGGATCAGGGGAAGCTAGCAGCCACTGGAGCCCTCTCCCACTCTTCCTAGGCAACAAGCCCAGAGTCCGGAGTATCCGCTTCGCGGCAAGCCATGATGCAGAAGGCTCCCAGAGCCATGTCCACTTTGATGAGAAGCTGCATGACTCAGTGGTCATGGTCACCCAGGAAAGTGATAGCAGCTTTCTGGTCAAGGTGCGTGCACACCTGCCCTGTCTCCACCCTTGTTCCCTGTCTCCCTCCTCTAGCTCCTCCCTGGCTCTACCTGCTTCGTGGGCCTGTCTGTGCCTTCTCCTGTCAGCTAGGTTCATAGACATGTCTCTGCCCCTCCCTGAGCCTTGGCTTCCCCATCTATAAAATGGGAGGGGGTGAGATTTCCATGAAATTAGCGCATTTACAATGTCACTTGAATCAAGGTGAGCAGAGCTATTGTCATCAGCCTCATCCAGACAATGGCAATTGAAGGCACTTGTCAAGGCTGTGGTGTCACAGGCCTAGATTCAGGTCTAGGCTAGCCATTCTGACTCTGTGACCTGAGAGAAGTCACATCAGTTTCTGTTCTTTCAAGCAGAGACTGTTCACATATGTTCCATATAGGTGTGAAGCTAATTATGGAATTAACAAGGTGTGACTTTTTTACCCTTTTTTGCCAAATCTCTGGCCGATTAGGCTCTTTGTAGTAGTGAACATCACCCATTTCCTGCTTGGTGGAGCATCTACTTCTCCTTGTGGCCACACTTCCCACACCCTCTATCTTGTATCCTCCAGCAGCTGGGGCACCATTGGATCCCACATCTACTTGGAAAGGGGCAGGAAAAAGTCTCTGGATGGGCTGCATTGGAGAAAATAGGCACTGAAGCCTTCACTAGGGCAATAAAACAGGGGTCCAGAGTTGGACAGGAGTGTCCTTGGGGGTCTGGGGCAGAGGTCTGGTCCTTAGAGATGTCAAGGACCTTCAGCTGACAGCTTCCCCAGGGGGCTAAACAGAGTGAACCAAAAAATTTAAAAGTAGCTCCCTCCCCCCACTGCAAAATCTACTCATATTTATTAGATGAAGTTTGGAAGACAGGGAAAAATGCAAAGAATGTAAGGGTACCCACAGCATACTACCCAGAAATAACCATGGTTGATATTCTGACGTCTGTCATTCCAGCTTTTACTCAATCTTTGTTTCCAAAAATGAAAGCTGGTATCACAGTGTACATGCTGTTTTTTGCCTGCTTCTATTGTGAACTGTCTCAGTAAATAATTTTCCATGAGATTTTATAACTGCCTGGTATTCCGTTATATGTGTCATCACTGATTTAGTTGGTTCCCTATTCCTAGGTGTTACGGTTGTTTCTGTTTTTCACTGTTATACGAATAAGGTAGTGATGAGTATTTTTTTTTTTTTTTTTTTGGTACATCTGCTATAGTTTCTCCTGGAAAATTCTGCAAGTGGTGCAGCTGGGTCACTGGGTCAGGTGGTAGGTGCAGCCAGAAAGCCTACCTGAGAGGCTATTGTGCCCTCTACTAGGAGAGTGTGAAGGGTCACACAGATTGAGGTTTATGTGGTGATGTCAGTCTGGTCCTACTGAAAGACTAAACTCAGTGCAGTCAGTCCTGACTGATCTCCAGGGGCAGGCTGTTCAGCCCCAGTAACTGTGAGCCAGAATCTGTGTGTCCTGTAAGCTACACTACACTCCCATCAGCCACCCTGCTCAGCAGCGAGCCTGGCTTATGACCCTTCACACCCCTGGAGTTTCCAAGAATGGCATTTGTCTCAGAGGACATCAGTTGCCAAGCACTGTGTAGGAACAACAGAAATTGTTTGGGTCACAAGTAGGGGTAGGGCCATTGAGCCTTTGAGTGGCAGGCAGGCACCCATGGTCAGGTGCCAGCAGCGCAAACAGGAGCTTGGTCAATGGCTGGTGCCAGGCCTGTGGGCCAGCTCTGGGCTGGCACAGCTGGACAACTGTCCATTTATCTAATTCTATCCCATCCCTCATCCCATGTTGTGTTGCTTGGTGTCACCAAATGAGTGATGGAGAGACCAGAGTCCCTGACTCTGGGCTCCTGGCTTGTGGCAGGCAGATGGCCTGTGCCATGGGACTTTGATCTTCTTCTCCTTTGAGTGGCCCAAGCCCTGCTGTGTATGATGCATGGCAGGAGTGGTCAAGAGGTCTAGAGAGGACTTTTTCTTGGCCATGCTATGTGGTCTCTGGTTAGACATTTTCTGGCTTCCATTTTCTCATCTATAAAATGGGCCACTGTGGATGTGGGGCCCATGAGCCAGATGATGAAGAGTGTGCTGGCCAGCTGTGGAGATGAGGTTTTCCAGGTAAGGGGTCTGTCAGAGGGCCTGGAGCCATCAGTGGTGGACCAGCTGGAGTGGCGGAGGGAGTTAGGTTTCCTGGGCTCTTCATGGAAATGTGCTGGGGCCATGAGGATCATAGGTGGCACAATTGGGTGGGCCTTGGGGGAAGCAGTAAGTGAAGCTGCCTTCCCCCACTTGCTCCCTGCTGTAGGTTGGCTTCCTGAAGATCCTGCACAGGTATGAGATTACATTCACTCTGCCTCCAGTGCACAGGCTGAGCAAGGATGTCCACGAGGCACCTGTCCCTAGTCTGCACCTCAAGCTCCTTGGCGTTGTGCCCACCTCTGAAGGTGAGTCCCCTTCACCAGCAGGGGCTAGATGTGAGTGGGAGTGAGAATGTGAGGTGCTCCCTTCCCCCCATCTGTGGTGGGTGGTCAGCTCAGCAAGCCAGGGACATGGTACCTTTTTGTGATCTTGCAGCATGGCAACTTGGCAGGTCCCATGCCCCAGGCCTCACGCATTCCTGGACAGAAGTTCATGAGCTCACACCATTGGCCTGCATCTGCCTACCATATGATAATTACCTCTGTGGTGAGGTAACTGAGGTGGGAGCCACTGAGAAACTGGCTTTAAGCCTCCAGCTCTCACTCCCACCTGCCCCTCAAGACAACCCTGCTGGAGCCATGAGAAGTTTGTGGCTAACTACTCAAATGCGCCATTTCTGATCCTTGGGTTTCAGGCTGCATCTCTACAAACTGGCTTCTGGCCCTGCTCCACCCCCACCCTACCCTGGCAGAGACTAGGGTGTCAGTTTCCCAGAGCTCCAAGCTTGAGTTTCATGTATCTACCCCATGACCTTGCCCTACAGCGGATTGTGTGAGACCTCCCCACTAGGCTTTTGCCCCTTGCCACCTGACCCACTCCAAGCCTGCCATACCCCCTTCCCTCCCCATTGCCACCTCTCTCTGCCTTCCTTTTGGGGGAATCACTGGGCCTTTGTTTTACTAGCCTAAGTTTGACCCAGCTTCACTTTTGAAGCTATACTGGGGTGTAGACCAGAGGCACCTGGAATTCTTTTTTTTTTTTTTTTTTTTTTTTTGAGACAGAGCCTCAAGCTGTCCCCCTGGGTAGAGTGCCGTGGCATTACAGCTCACAGCAACCTCCAACTCCTGGGCTCAAGCGAGTCTCCTGCCTCAGCCTCCCAAGTAGCTGGGACCACAGGCGCCCGCCACAACGCCCGGCTATTTTTTGGTTGCAGCCGTCATTGTTGTTTGGCGGGTCCGGGCTGGGGATTCGAACCCGCCACCTTAGGTGTACGTGGCTGGCGCCTTAGCCGGTTGAGCTATAGGCGCCGAGCCAGGCACCTGGAATTCACTGAAGTATGGGAAGCTTCTGAGGCCTGCAACCCTTGGGGACCATGGTTCACTGGGCTCCAGCAGGGCCACCCCTGCGCCTTTCTGGGGGAGGCTCAGCATGTCTTGGTATTGGGTGGGGGACCAGTTAGTCCGGGAGGTGGGGTCGGGGGCTAAGGGAGATGCTGATTGCCTGCCCCTATGCCTGGGCAGGTTATAGCGTCAAGTGCGAGTACTCAGCGCACAAGGAGGGCGTGCTCAAGGAGGAGATGCTGCTAGCCTGTGAAGGGGGTGCAGGCACCTTCGTGCGAGTGGTCGTGCAGGCCCGCGTCATGGGTGAGAGCACAAGGAGTGGGTCTGGCTGGAGGAGGGAGGTGCAAGCCTGGCCACAGGGTTTTTATCCTCTTGGTAGGCTGGTCTGAAAAAGGGAACTGGGGTTCCCAACCTCCTTGGCTGTTCCCCCTCAGCCAGTCTCTGAGGGAAGGGGGAGGGGTCTCCTTGGAATGGGCCGTGTGAGTGGGGCGAGGTAGCCCACCCATTTGCATCCTTTCTTTGCAGACCGGCACCACGGCACACCCATGCTGCTGGACGGTGTCAAGTGCGTGGGCGCCGAGCTAGAATACGACTCTGAGCACAGCGACTGGCATGGCTTCGACTGAGGCTGGCAACCCTGCCTGCCTCAGGGCCCCTCAGCCTTAAACCTCGCCTCGTCTCCCCAACATGCTGCGTGATGGTTGTGGCTTCCTCGCCCCTCCCCAGGTTGGGGGTGGGGGTGGCTGTTCAGGGGCCTCCAAGCTGAGGTCTCGCCCACGTCTCTCACCTCTGCCTTTGTTTGTGCCACCACCCTGCCTCTCCTGAGTCCTCCTCTCTGTGTCTCCCACTTCCTCCTCTCCGTGTGCCTCAGTCTCCTGCCAGAGGAAATGGGTCGAGCCCACAAGGAGGCTGTTTGAGGAAGGGAGAGGGAGGGTCTGGGGTGGGTTCTACCCAATCCCCACCCCAAGCCATAGGGGCTCCAGCCAGGGTCTGGGAGAGGATGGAGCTGGCTCTGTGATGTCGTTGCCCCATTTCTGCTGCTGCTCTCTCGCTTCAGCACCTCTCCTGCCTCTCCCTCTTCCCCACTGCTCTCTACAGTGAGCAGGAGGGAGGTGCGGCCCCAATTCCTACCCCTCAGGTCTGTGTTACTTGGTTTTTAAACAACTGGTTGGGATAGAACCCTAAAGAAATAAAACTTCCAGTGGATACTAGAGGCCAGCTGGATTTGTGTTCTCTGGGGTCCAGAGAATGCCCAATCCTTTGCAGATGGGTTGTAGGAGAACTTGGGTAAACTCATTCTTTCAGGAGACGGGCATTGCATGGTGTCTGGCCTCCAAAGTATGCAAGGTGGTGGCATTTTAGTTCAGGGACTAGTTGCCAAGACAATTCATCGGGACAGGGAGGGCTTCTTGCCCAGCCCAGACAGAGGTCTTAAGGAGTGGGTAGTGCTGTTTGGGATGCTTGATAGGGAGACAGCAGCACCCCCTTCTGGCCAGTCCCCTGCCTTGTGCACAGCTAAAACCGTTCTCCCTTTAGCAGTCCCCACCCTTGCACTACTCCCACTTTTAGGGTCCCCACTCATGCTGAACCAGCGTGGCTTCCCCTTGAGCCTAAATGCTTTATTGTCACCTTCAGGTTCTCAGGCAGGTGGGATTGTTGCATATCATGGTTGGAGAAAGATGTCTGACATTTCACACTTGGGGAAACAGAGACCCATGTCAGAATGTCCTCCTGGCACTGAGTTAATGGCAGTGCTGGGACCAGCCCTCGGTGCTCCCTGTGTTCTCCTTATCAACCTTCCAGCTGCCCTTCCATGGCTGGAGTGGTGTGCAGGTGGGTCATTTATCAGTTGTCCCTGGGGCCTTCCCAGATTGTTTTGTCTGCAACTCCAGCATGCTACCAGCAGCACATCCCCTCTTAACCCTCTTCCCTGCAATAATGTACCCTCCTTCCCATTTGTCAGCTACTGCCCTTTATAAACAGTCACATTTGTGTGGTCAGTGCCACACCCTGGAAGGTGCTACTACACCTGTCCCTCTAGTGTCCATTTCCAGTCATTTCCCCATGCACAGGGTTGCTTTGCCCACCTCCCTGTAGGGGCTGAGCCCATTTTGTGGTGAGCTCCAGCCCATCAGGACCAGGCCCTGAACAGCTTCCCTGCTGCCTGCCTCATCAGCCTCTCCCTGCCCACTGCCTCCATCCTCCTCCCTCCATCCCCACCCTGCCACATTAAGGCCAGGGCTCTCAATTTTAGGCCAGGGCTCCCAATTTTAGGCCAGGGCTTGGTCTTCCGTTGTATTTTGCCTTCGGAGTCGCAAACTCCCTGCCAGGCTGGGCGCATGGTCTTGCAAGCCTCTTCTAAGTAATCCATACCCACTCAGTACTTGACGGGTCCTTTCAGCCTTCCAGTCAGCGGACAGGGTCCTACCCCAAAGGCCATAGTCTGGTTGTGTCCGCATCCACCCTCCATGACCTCATCTCCGCGGGCTGGAGGCGGGGACAGAGGCGATGGTATCGGAACTCGCGGTCCCTCCGCTCCGCCCTACCCGGCCCCCAGACACTGAGACGGAAAGGGGGCGGGACTGAGGGGGCTGGTAAAGCGCCCGCGCGCGCTCAGTTGGAAAGAAAGTCGATGGCTGCACGCACCGAGCGATTGGTGCTGACGTCGACGGCGGTGACCTTAATCTCGGTGTCGCCGAACTGCATGGCTGTGCGGATTTCGCGGCGGCCAGGGGGCGCGCCGGCGGTGTCTGGGCTGCCGTCGGCGGGCTCGAGCTCCAGGCTGAGCGCGCCGCACTTGCGCACGCCTGGGTCGGTAATGAAGTGCGCGTCCTCGGCGGTGCAGCAGTACAGATTGATGAGCACGCGCCGCTGGCCCGGGCGCGCGGGGCAGTAGCTGCGCCGCACCTCCTCGCCCAGGGCCACCGACTGCTCCGCGGCCACGAAGCGCTCGAAGACGTCGGTACACCAGCGACGGCCATCGCGCACCAGCAGCTTGTCTGGCGGGTGGCGCCCAGCCACAAAGCGGTTGAGCACGCCTACGCCATAGGTGAGAGGCGAGCGACGCACCCGCACCACGCCCGGCGCCTGGCCGAAGAGCACAGCACCCTTGAGAATGGTGAGGCCCACGTCGTGTGGGACCACTACTCGCAGGCCGCGGGCACCCAGTGCTGTCTGCACCGCGTTCTGTAGCACAGCTGACTCTGCGAAGCCGCCTACCAGGAACAGGAGCTTCACGCCCTGCACCTCCGGCCGCGCTAGCAGTGCCTCTGTGGTGGAGGGGAAGGGGAAAAGGGGGCGGAGAAAGAGCCCTCAGAGCGTGCCACTGAGACCACCCCTCCGGCCACTGAGGCCTTCTCTCGCTTGCCTGTGCCCTCCTGGCAACTAGAAACTAGCCATTTGAATTACAGGACAACCCACTTCTGACGAATAACGCTGAGCGCTTTCATGGAGGAAGGCTCCTGGCAATCCTTGTGGGCCCCACCTCCCCAACATTCACACTCCCCCCTTCTCTCCCACCAAAACGTGGAGGGCAAGGGACATGTATTAAACACTTAGACCGTGTGTGAAAGATACTGTGCTCATTCTAGATACTTAAGCTCATCTTATCCCTTGTGATAACATTTTTGGGAACCCAATACTATCCCCTCATTTTATAAATGGGGAAACCGAGGCACCAGAAGTTCTTTAACTTGGCTAAGACTATACATCATCTCTCCTGGCTCATAATCACCACGGGACTTTGTCCTTCAGGTGTTCCAAATGATTCTGGATCTTAACAGTGTGTGGATGTGTGGAGGTTTCCAGGCGCTTGATAGGGCAACTATTGCACTGGGTGTGTATGTGGGAGTGAATGGAGGACCAGAGATCAGGTGCTCACCTATGTGCTGGATGATGGCGTTGACGGTGGGCTGAAAGAGCTCGTTCATGGCCTCACACGACATTCTGAGCATCCCCTGTGAGGACCACTTCACGAAGTTCACGCTGTAGGTGATGAAGGGGAAACAGGCCCAGGGTCAGGGCCCAGCTGCTTGCCCCAGCTTGGAGTCTGTCCTCCTCCTTCCCTACCCTGCCTCTGGGTAGATGTGGCTGGGGACTGACTACCAGTGGTGTGTGTATATTCCACCGGATGGTTGTTAGCCTGTAGCCCCACTTCACAGCCCCAGGGATTTTAGCCACTAGCCTGCTCCGTGTTCACCCCCATGAGGTCCCGGGAAAGGGGCCTCTCCTTGCTTCTGTGCAGAAAAACCAAGGAGCATTGGCTGGCAGGGCATTGTGGCTGGGAGCAGGGTTGGGGGTGGCGGTGCCAGGGAGGAGACAGAACTTTGGCGCCTGCCCATGATTCTACTTGCCCCGTTTCAGGCTTTGCATTGCGGGGTGAAACCTGCTTCCTGGCTGGCATGAATGAGGCAGACCCCTACCCCCACTCCCTGTGGCCCAAGATCCTCCCTTGCTGGGGTATTTCCATCATCAGCAAACCCTGCCTGAGCCCGTAGGGCCTCGACCCACCTGCTCCGGCGCAGAGCTGTCTCCACATTGTGGCCTCGCTGCCTGCGGTAGAAGTCAATGAAGGAAAAGGGCAGCGAGATGTTGAGCGCCCCTGCACGGTGCGGGCCGGCAGTGCGTTTGCGAGCCTCGAAGGCGATGGTCAGATCCACCCAGGCTGCCGGCCGTTGCCTTTTGAAGGTGGCAATAAAGTCCTCGCCGAATATGCGGCACAGCAGCTGTTCAAAGGCCAGGTCGACGCCCACCGCGCCATAAGGGCCGCCTAGGGTAGGGCGGAAGGCATCGGGGCATCAGCGCCCATCGGGCCACCAGGGGGCGTTGGGGACAGGGGCGGAGGCCCTCAGGGTGCCAGGGTCGCTGCCAGGCCACTCACCCGACGCCTTGTAGAGCTCCTTGAGGGTGCCGTGGGGCTGCTCCAGCTGGTGCACGGTCAGGTCCACCGTACCTCCGCCGCAGTCTGCCACCATGTAGCGGTCTCCTGCGGCAGTGAGCGCGGGCACACACTCGTGGTCTGCCTCACCCTCAGCCTTGTGCCCCCTCCAGCCTCGCCTAGCCTCAACCCTGCCCCAGGTTCCCAGCGCTGCCTGCGGGCAGGCAGGGGAGGGACGTGAGGGGCTATAGGTGCATGAAACTCAGGTCACCAGATAGGGGCACAAAGTATGGCAGTAAAATGGTTCCAGAGGCTCTGCAACTCCACCCTAGCGCCCGCAGAGAATCCCCCGGAGGAGGAGGTAGGGGCGCAGCTGTGCGTGGATGGGGGTGCAGCTGTCTGTGTGAGGCCTGCCAGGTTAAGTCCAGCAGAAGAAGGAAGAAGAGGAGGGCTTCGCAAATGTGACTTTCTTTCCATCAGTGTAAGGTGCCCTACAGGGGTCAAGGGTATCTCTCCACCCCCCTGTCCCGCTACCTGCTTGCATCTCTGCCCACAGCTCTCCTACACCAGACTCCACCAGGAACGTGCGGCTGTGGCGGGACCTTCGCAGCTGCTCTCGGGCTGAGGGTCAGGGATCAGCAGGAAGTGAGATTAAAAGGTGCTACAGCTGTGTTCAGCTCTCATCATCCCACCAAGGCCCTCTATGAACACCCAGAGCAGCCAGTGCTCCTGAAATACCAACCAACCCTGACTAGAAGAGGGCAGTGCTGAACTCCAAAACCCAGGCACTGTATCTGACAGCTGGGGGGAAGAATTTCTGGACACACAGCTTTTGCGTAATGCAGAAGGGTTCAGGCCATGGCAAAATCTGGGTTTAGAGGTGCTGCAGGGGTTAGGTCTTGAGGAGTCTCAGGAGGTGCTTAGGACTTAGGGTCTCTCCTTGCAATGGGAGATGGCCTTTGGGAGGATGACCAAGGTTGACCTCTGCTGTCCTTGGCCATGGTGCTGGGTCCTGGCAGCAGGAGCTTGAAGCTGTAGAGGGAAGCGGGTTGGAGGAGTAGCTGATGTGCAGGGATGGGAGGTAGAGGCAGCTGATGCAGTTTAAAGGAAAGCTCCTGAGACCTACTACGCCTTCAGTTCTGGGTGGGAGCTGACTTCTTCCTTTGTCAGTACCCAAGCACCTTCCCTAGGATAGTCCTACCCTCCTCAGATCCTGTTCATGTAGGACAAGATGAGGTCTCCACCCTCAGGTTGGGCTCCCCCAGGTCAGAGCATTGGCCAGTACTCAGACAAGGTTCTTCTGAGCAGGGCAATGCCTCCCTTCCTCAGGCTTGACTCCACAGGGATATCTCTACCAGCTGAGATTGGGCTCTTCCAGGTTGGGGCTACCTGCCCTTCATCCTGGATATGGCTGAGCCTTTGGCCCCTGTGTCCCTGTGATCCTCCAAGCATGGGTGATACTCCTGCCGGCAGCTCACCCTGCCGGAAGCTGGAGTCGATGGAGCGGCGTTCGCCTAGGCGCCCACCACCTGGGGCCCGACTGCTCAGGTCCATGAGCTGGTGCAGACGCAGCTTACGACAGTACACAGACGCGGCCTCAGGCTCCAGGGCGATAAGTAGTTGGTCTGCATTCTCTCGAGACACCAGTCCAGCCTAGTATGGGAGGTGGGCTGTCATATCCAAGATCGCACTCCAGGGTGGGGAGTGCATTCCCTCTGGGGCCCCCGCCTTCTCCCCCATCATGCTCTGCCTGTACTAGGCCTCAGTCCCTCCCATGCTGCATAAACTTGGAGCTTCCTCATAGCCTGCCTCATGTGATCAGGGTAGGGAGGGCCATCACCATGGCCAAGGATGCCAAGGGGTTACCTAGCAGAAAGACACCAGAGTGCAAACCTAGAAAGCCTGGGATCTGTCCATTCTAGCTTCCCAAGATGGCAGAGTTGCAGTAAGGTCCCTCTTCTCAGGTGCTGGCCTGGCTAACTGCATGCTGACTAGGGGTGTTAGCAGAGACTCTAGCACAGTGTGGGGAGTGTAGTGGCTCAGAAGAGATGATGGGGAGCCCTGTTTAGCTCATTGAATCCTCTTTCTCCACCAGGCTGGTACCAGGTCACAGGGTCACAGGCCACTCTACTCTCAGGAGAACTTTGTTCCCAGGGAATCTGATACAGTAGGAAGGAAGCAGTGAAATTCCAAGACAGGCCAGTTGAGAGGAGACAACCACTCGAGATGGAGATTGGTTGTTTCCTGCATCAGGGCAAGGGATCCCTGTGGGAAGTACTTTATGATTTTGTGGGGTTCCCCAGATTCTGACCAGATAGGGGAGGGGGTATGGGTAGGAATGGAGACTTCCTGCCCAGGGCCAGCCCTTCCTGAGCTGGCAGCCAGGGAACAGTGTGGGAGGAAGCAGGGCGGGTAAATGGGCAGGGGTCAATGGGGGGGTGTTTGTTCTGGCTGGGGACAGCCTTGCAGTAATTCCAACTTGAGCAGGGATATGCCCACCATATGCAGGGTTAGCTCCTTCCAGTGACAAGTGTAGGCACCTACAGACCTGGCCCCAGGTCATGCCTGGTCCACAGGTAGGGGGGGGTTGGGGACCCTGGTATCACCCAGTGGGGTCCACAGGCAGGTTTGAGGTCCCTTTTGGACATCCTAGGGTCTGTCCTCCCAGGCCTCAGGATTAGAGTCTTGTGCTGGAAGCCTAAGCCACCTCTCTGTCTCCACTGGAGAAGGTGGTATCTGGGCTCCCCACATTCCTTTCTGCAGACCTTTGAGCACCTCTGTGGTAAGAAGACCTGTACATGTTAGCCAGAATCACTTCCCTTCATCGTTTCATAATCCTGTTTCCCCTTCACCAGCTCATGGACCTGAGCGGGGTGCTCCTGAAGATACTGATGCCAGCAGAAGTGTATGTTCTAGGTGTCCTGTCCACCACTGTGTCAGCTGTTCTTGGCTCACAGCTATCCCCTCCTATAGACAACTGCCCCCAGCTGAATGGGAACTGCTTTACTTGGAGAAGTTTCCCTCCCACTCTCCCAGATTGATATGGACTGACAAGAAGCTGTGTCTTGCCTCACTGTGGCCAACTCTGTACTACAGCTCTTCCCCTGCGGCTCTCCATGGGATCAGGCAGAGGCTAGACTCCAGCCAAGACAACATCCTTGCTCAGCTTCTTCTGTCCTGCTCCACCCCTTCTCCTGAGAGCCCTTCTTTAATAGACCACATGCACAAGATTCTCCATCTTAGGGTCTGTTTCTAGGAAAGCTGTGCCTTTTGTCCATCTGTGCCCTGTTCCCATAGGCTCACTCCTTCTCCTGGTGGCAACAATCCTCTCCGAAATTCCCAGCAGGAGAAGGCTGGAAGTCTTTACACAATGACTCTATGCTCCCAAGGACAGTGGGATAATGAGGGTTTGGGGCCATCCCCAGGGCCTTCCTGATTGGTGTGTTCTGCCCCACCTGCACATCCTCACCAGGTAGGCAGCCTCCCGCATGAACTGCTTGGCAGGCTGTTTCCAGATGGCAGGCACCGTCAGTACCCAGCGCACAGTGTCCTTCTCCGGCAGTGATGGGCACTGCTCTCTCAGTTCCTGGAGCAGGAGAGGGCAGTGAAGGGATCAGCTGGCCTGGGGGGATCCTCAGCCCTCTATGAGAGCTGGAGGAACTGACTGAACCACAGGAAGGACTTCCTAGCTTAGATGGAAGAATACCCTCTTCCACCTGTGTGGCTTGGTGCAGGCTGTATCAGATAAGGAGGAAGGAGACTGGGGAAGATGACCTCTGACCTCTGGCAGTGGCTACACATTGGGTGGACAGGATGGGATGAAGGGAAATGATGGGCCCAGGGTCCCCACCCTAGTTGGGGACAGGGACAGGGCTGCAGTGCACCTGAAGAGCATGCTCCTTGAAGAAGCGCAAGGCATGGGCGAACACCTCCAGGGCCGGCATCTTCTTTCCATTTACTGCCTCTAGCTGGGTCTTCAGTGTGAGATCCTGGCAGGGACACAGGTTGGTTCTGCAGGAGGCCATAGCTCTGCCCCCATTTCCTGACGACCTCTCTCTTTAAAAAATCACTTTTCCTGGAGCTTCCTCTGTTTAGTACCTTTCCTGCACTCCGGCCCCAGTCTCACAGCAGCGGTTTCCAGCCCCAGCTCCTCTCCTTAGCCCCACCCCTCCTCCAAACCCAGCTTCATCCATAGCCCCGCCCCTTTACTCCTGCCCTGATCCCCGCTCAGTCCTGAGCCCCGCTCACTCCCTTACTCCCTTTTCCCCTTGGCCAACCTCCCTGTCAGCCCTTCCTCTATTAGGCCCTTCCTCACATCTTTTAGCTTTGTTCCACCTCATTAGCCCTGCCCTTTCACATCCTGGACACGCCCCCGGTACGGAGCCCTGCCCAGTGGCGAAAGTTGCTCACAGTGGCGCTGTGGATCTTCATCTTGAATTTCTCGAAGTAGAGCCAGTCCCGCGCCTCCTCCGGGTCCAGGTCGTGGTAGTAATCGCGGGCGGTGTAGCCAAAGCTGTGAAAGGCGCCCTCCGGAGTCAGCAGCAGACAGGTTGGGGTCTTCTGATGAGCAACGCCCGGATCTCCGCCCTCCCATTTCCTGCGGAGACACAGGGCAGTCAGTGTCGCTAGTGACAAGTCTCCCTCCGAGGGAATCCAGGCGGAGGGAACAGCAGGTGCAAAAGCTCCGAGGTGTGAAAGAGCAGGGAGAATTAGCTATAAATTGGCTCAATGTGCAGCAGGAGAAAATACAGAGATGCTTAAGGTCAGACTGTGAAGAGCACTGAAGGCCACATCAAAATTCTGTCTTGGGCTGGGTGTCCGTACCTCAGTGGGTAGGGGGCCGGCCACATACACCAGGCTGGCGGGTTAGAACCCAGCCTGGGCCAGTTAAAAGAACAATGGCAACTGCAAAAACAACAATAAAAAAAAAATGGGCGGGCGTTGTGGCGGGCGCCTGTAGTCCCAGCTACTTGGGACGCTAAGGCAAGAAATTGCTTAAGCCCAACAGTTGGAGGTTGCTGTGAGCTGTGACGTCACAGCACTCTACCGAGGGTGAACAGAGTGAGACTCTGTCTCAAAAAAAAAAAAAAAAATTCTGTCTTGGTGGATTTTAAGTAGAAGACAGTAAAAGAGGCATGCCCACATTTGCCTTTAGAAGAAAGGTCACCATATAGTACCAGATTGGAGGGAAGGACGATGGAGAGGGTAAACCAGGGAGAAGGATATTGTGATCGTCCAGGTGAGAGAGGGTGGGGCTGAACTTGGGCAGGGGCAGTGGCCATGGAGAGAAGTAGATGGGCATTCCAGAGATATTAGGGGGACACAGGAATAATGGGGCTTGATGGCTGGTGGGATAGGAAGAGAGGGCTTGGGAGGGGACACGGATGACCCCCAGTTATTTCCTATGACTGTAGCCTCCACAGGATAGTGTCCCTTCATGTGCATGGCCTTTGTGTGCTGATGAGTGTGCCAGCTGGGATGCCCTGCAGCTCCTGAAAAGCTATAAGTGCCCAGAGCCTTTGTGGCTTCCTATGATGTGGACGGAGCAGAGAAAGGGGAAGGATAGTTCAACCTCATGAAGTTCTAGTCCTATGTATGCTTGGGACACTAACCTCTCTGTCTGTCCATTGACCCTTCTGTCCAACCTCCAGACCCCTGAGAAGCCTCTCTGTACCTCCCACTCTGATCTGGGTTGAGAGCTTTGAGGTCTGTAGCTCCACCTAACTGGTGACAGCCCATGATACACATTCAAAAGGTCAGGGCCCTGAGGTCCAGAGTGCTCAGATAAATAAATGTTTTGTTCAAATAAAACCCAACAACATCAGAATGAATTTTTCAAACATCTCTTTCATAACAACTGTGTGACTGGTCAACTCAGCCCTCTGAACCTTTGTTTTCTTTCTTTCCTTATTTATTTATTTCTAACTAGCAGCAGAGCTTACAAAGAATTTTCTTGGGGCTTTTTTTTGGATGTTGGGTCTAGGAATGGCCTCTAGGAATCTGCCCCATAGAAACGCCAGCACAAGTTTTTAAGGAAGGATATCCATTGCAACACTCTTTGTATTAGTGAAAAAATGAGAGAAGAAAACCCCTCAAACTGTCACTAGGAGGATGGATAAATTGCAACTCATCTGTACTATGTAATACATGCAGCTCTTCAGACAAAGTGGTAGTTCTGTACTTACGGACATGAAACTCCTACAAAATCATGTTGAAAGTTTAAAGTAAAGCAAGTTGTATGATATCCCTTATTTATTTATTCATTTAAGAGACAGAGTCTCATTATGTCCCCCTTGGTAGAGTGCTGTGGCATCACAGCTCATAGCAACCTCAAACTCTTGGGCTTAAGCGATTCTCTTCCCTCAGCCTCCCAAGTAGCTGGGGCTACAGGCACCTGCCATAATGCCTGGCTATTTTTTGTTGCAGTTGTCATTGTTGTTTGGCAGTTCCAGGCCAGGTTCAAACCCGCTGCCCTTGGTGTATGTGGCTGGTGCTGTAACCACTGCGCTATGGGCGACGAGCCTATTTTTTTTTTGTTGTTGTTGCAGTTGCCATTGTTGTTTGGCAGGCCAGGCTAGGTTTGAACCTGCCAGCCTGGGTGTATGTGGCTGGTGCCCTACCCACTGAGCTACGGGTGCTGCCCATATTCCCCTTTTATTTAAAAAACATATGTGCTATGTGTTTTTGTGTATAAGCTTAGGAGAAGATTTGTGTATTTTGTGTTTATTATATTTTATGTATGTTTATTATATCGTAATGAAAATTCAGAATTAAAAACAAAGCTTAACATCTACTGCAGAGAGCTGAAAGTTGCTGCAATTGAGGCTAGAGGCCCAGGCCTAGGGCCAATCCTCCAATCGTTTGCCCCAATAGGGTGCTCCAGATTAGGGATGGCAGGGCTTCTGAGGAGACCCCATGTCTCAGTGACAGTACTTTTGGGACCAAGTTCATCCCAGGATGTGAGGACCACCCCCCCTTCAATTTCCCAGCCCAGCTGCTCTCACCGCATCATGTGGATGGTCTCAGGGTCACTGGCAAAGCTGAAGGCATAGCCACTGGATGTAGTGCCAAAGTCAATGGCCACCACTACAGAGAAGGAAGCCTGCTGGGGGGCTCGGGCCTCAGGCTTCTGCAAGTACAAGACCTAGAGTTAACAGGCAGCCAGCAGGGCCCCCCAACTGCACTTGGGAGCGCCTCCCTCCTGCTGGCCATGGTCCAGACCAGCCTGGTTGACTCTACTTGCCTGTATGCCTTGGGTCCCCTCTCAGGCTCCAGGCTGCGCCCTGCCTGGACTGCTTTACCCTACCCCCATCTCACACTGTCTTCACAGCCTGCGACCAGCCTGGGCCCAGCTAGGAACAATTTTGCTCCTCTGGGCATCTTTACAGCACATGGATGTATGTGTATTTTACCGTTTTGCTCTTTGTGGTCACAGTGACACAAACCAGATTCTGTCTGACTTTGTGGCAGAGAGGAGAGGCCATTTGCACATGCCCAGAGTGATTCCTACTTATCCCAGGCCAGGCCTGGGATCCTTGAGAACAAGGGGGTCCCCAGGCTGGATTACCAGAGGCAAGGCTATCCAGGGTAGGGTAACCTAGGAGCATGGTGGTGGGGAGGTTATTTCTTGGGTACTTCAAGCTAGTAGTTTCCAAACTATTTTTTAGCAATGTATCTTCTCTCCCCCAGATATGACTTGGGTTAAGGTGGGCTGTCATTGACAGGTGCAGGAACAACTCTGGGAGGCCTAGTGTTCTGAGGACCTAAGAAAACCTCCAGCCAGGCCAGCTGCAGTGGTCTCTGGGTGCCATTCAGTGGCAAGGAGAGTTGGGTGTTAATTACAGAGGGCTCACCTTCTTGTGGAATTGTTGCCCTACAGTCCAAAGCCATCAAGGGCTAATCCTTCGGGACACATGAGCCAAAAACTGCAAGGGGCTACCTGAGATGCCTCAGTGTACAGAGGCAGGAGGTGTGGTAGCACCTCATGCCTCCTTCCTTCCCAGCCCAAGCTCTGCCATGCCTCTGCCAGGCATGACCTCCCTCTATGCCACCCAGGCCACCCCCCACCCAATCCCTGCTCCAGGCTTACAGGAGACTGTGAGGGTGTGAGGGGGGCAATGCCACAGCTTTCCTGGGTTCTTGGGGAGCCGGGTGGGCTGGGCACTGGAGAACGCTCTGGGCTGGAACCTGCAGAGAAGACAGGGCATTTCATCCTGGAACCATCAGGGTAGGGAGCTGACAGCTGGGCCCAGGCCTGACACAGAGAGGTTCTCTATTCCTGCTGGGCCAGGGCAAGTGACTCCCTGCTGGGGGACAGAAGTGCAGTAGGAAAGATGCACGTGAGGCAGGCATAGGGACTGAGGGCCTGTTAGCAGCCAGAGGCAGCCTTTCCTTGGAGGGTACACTGTGTCCCCCCAGACATATAATAGGGGAGGGGAAAGAGAAGTGTTTTTGGCAGGAGTCCAGAGATGGAAGGGTGAGAGAGATGGGGCGGGGGAGGGGAGAAGCCACAGCCATGGAGGAACCACAGACTTAACTGGCAGGGAGGGGGGCTGCTGGCCTAGGGGTGGGGCTGCTCCCCTGTATCCTGAAGTTGGGCCACATGGTTCTAATCAGGACTTGAGGGAGGTCCCTCCTCCCTTATCCCCACCAGGGCTACAAACAGGGCCAGCTGGCGCTGCCTGGGACAATCAGCAGCTCCCCCCCCCAGCCCAGCCCTAAGTGGGGGATGTCCATACACTAGGGAGTCTGATTACCACTCCCCTACACACACTTTGAGCCAGCATTTGCAGGTAGGAGGCCTCACTGAGACCCTGGTAGAGGCTAGGACTTGGCGGGACCTTTGGTGGAAGCAGAGTAGCTTTGAGGAGGAAGCCCAAGGCTTGGCTTAGCAGATCATGCAGTTCATGGGACAGGATGGCCTGTTTGGCTGGACACTCACAGGTGTGGGCTGATAGTTGGTTACCAGCACACTGAGTGTTGCTAAGGGTCGTATGAGGGGTTCCGGGCTGCCTGAGATCCACAGATAGGGACGGGGGGCTGGCCAAGGAGGGGGAGTGGGGTCTGGCATGAAGACCTAGGGACAAATCAGGCAGGTCTGTCTGGCTTCAGACTGAGCCAGGACAGGGCCCAGGCTCCCTCAGCTGCAGTCCTTCCATGGGCGCCTACACAGGCCCCAGCTCTCCCTGGCCTTGAGGATAACCTCAGAACATATGCAAAGGGCCAGTACAAGGGGGACTCTGGGAAGTGCCTGGACAGGGCCAGAGTCTGCCTGAGGTCCAAAGGGGCAGTGACATAGTGGTCACATTCTGAGGGTTTCCTTTCCTTGGGCTTCAGTGCAGGCTTGGGCTCTGCCACTAGCTCCAGCTTGAGAGGCCAAGTTCTGTGGCTTGAGCCTGGGAAGGGAGGCAGGAAGGAAGGGCCCAGCCCACCAGGTCTTTGTGAATGGACTTCCTGAGGAGTGTCCCTCCTGCCTCCCAGCCTCCCACCCCTGCATATAACCCAGAGCCTGCTCCCAGACCAGGCCATGGGCGACTGCACATGCGCACACCTCTACCTGCAGACTGTACTTTTACAGGTCCTATACACAGAGAGCCACTTGCAGAGAAATACACATGCTCACTGATGCACAGCATCCTGTGCACACAGAGCCTGCACAGAACACACACACACAGACAGACAGTCCTATGCACACAGACCCTCCCAACACACACACATGCACTCTCTTAGTCACACACTGGCCTGTGGACTCAGACTCTCCCTGCACACACAGACAGGCCAGTAAACACAGACGTGCCCTGCATGTGTGCTCATGCACACACACACACACAAACACACAGAAACTCAGAAGAAGCTCTGCTGGGAGAGGCTCATGTGGACAGCCTATGTGTGGGGCTCAGTGCTGAGGCAAGTGGGTGATGGGTCGGGCAGAGCAGTGGGGGGTCTTACCGATGTACAGCCCCTGCAGCCCCATCTCCGGGACAGCCAGCATCCTTGCAGGCCCTGTAGCTGTCAACAGGAACAGACAAGCAGAATGGGATTCATTTGCTCTTTTGTCCCCTCACTGAATGCTTACTTTTTATTTATTTACTCTTGGCTGGAGTCCTCTGAAGCAAATCCCAGACATCATGTTGTTTCACCTATAAACTCTTCAATATGTCTCCCCAACAGATAAAGGCTGTTTTCTGTTGTTGTTTTTGAGACAAGTCTTACTCAGTTGCCCTGGGTAGAGTGCCGGGGGTCATAGCTCACAGCAACCTCGAGCTTCTGGGTTCATGTAGTCCTCTTGCCTCAGCCTCCTGAGTAACTGGGACCACAGGCATTCACCCTAACGCCTGGCTAGTTTTTCTTTTTTTAGTAGACTTGGGGTCTCACTCTTGTTCAGGCTGGTCTCTAAATCCAGAGCTCAGGCAATCCACCCATCTCAGCCTCCTAGAGTGCTAGGATTATAGACATGAGACACTGCACCCGGCCAGATAAAGACATTTTTAAAAACATCATCACAACACAATTCTCATGTCTAACACAGTAATTCCTTTTTTTTTTTTTTTTTTTTTTTTTGAGACAGAATCTCACTATATCACTCTGGGTAGATTGCCATGGCGTCACAACTCACAGCAACCTCAAACTCTTGCGCTTAAGCGATTCTCTTGCCTCAGCCTCCCAACTATCTGGGACTATAGGTGCCCGCCACAATGCCCAGCTATTTTTTTTTTTTGCAGTTGTCATTGTTGTTTAGCTGGCCTGGGCCACGTTCGAACCCACTACCCTTGGTGTATGTGGCTGGCGCCATAACCACTGTGCTACGAGCACCCAGCCAGTGAACAGTAATTTCTAGATCTCATTCTAAGCTCAGCCCACAGGCCCAGCTTGTCTCAGAAATGGCTTTGCTTTGTTGAAATCAGGACCCTCCTAAATGTTTTCTGGTGCCCACTCTGTGCCGGGTGCTAGGGGACATCAGTGACCCAGAGAGACACCGTCCCTGCCTTGGGGATCCACAGCTTGGTGGAGGAGATTATTGGGCATGTGATTTTGAGATGACAAGTGATGATGAGAGCTGTGAAGGTTGCAGTTTGGGCATGAAGGCAGGAAGGGGCATTGTATGACTGTACAGAGGGCTGGGCAGGGCCCACCCTGAAGGCAGGCCCCATGCATCCTAGTTTAGATTTGGTTCTATATGAAGAACAATAATAAATCCTAAAAGGTATGACTAAATTTGCATCTTGAGATGCCCCTCTGGCTGCCTGGGAGAGTGAATTGTAACAGGCAATATGGAAGCAAGAGCTCAGTGGGCTACTGAAGCCCTCTAGGAGACAGACAACAGTGGTGGCTGCATGCCCCAAGAAGAGTGAAACATTTAAGGGACGGAAGCCAAAATCAACAGAGCTGATCAGATTGGATACAGAGAGGTTAGGAAGAAGGTGTCAAGGTTTGGCACTGTCTAGAGATGGATGGATGGTGAGAACACCAGAGAAAGGGCAGCTGGCAGGGCCAAGGCAGAGTTTGGGCTGCTATTTTGCACTGCTCAGAGAAAGCACCATGAGGCCACATAATATAGGATCTGGAGGGCAGGCGAAATCTGAGTTGGAAATGTGTGTTTGAGAGCTACTGTCACGAGAGGCCTGGCAGAGAGTTGAGTTGGGAGGAGGAGGAAACCCTATGCTTAAAGGTTGAACAAAGGGAGGTGGGCTGGCCAAGGAAATCCAGATACCTCCTGCGGTGTCATGGAGATCACACTAAGAGAGGGGATGCCTGGAAGAATCCCCTAGAAGGAACTGGAAACACTTGTCTTAATGGCCCAAGGTGGGTAAGCCTGGGTGAAGAGTGAGAGGAGGTGACAGAACCGGGCTAAAACTTTTGAGAAGTTCAACTGAGATCAGGACCTATGTCAGGGCAGTAGCTGGTGGGACCTAAAGCTTGAGCAAGGATATTTATTTATTAATTTAAGGATATCTATTTTGTTTTCTAAAATAGGAGGAACTTGAGCCTGTTTCTGTGAAGTTCTGGGAGCTAGGCTATAGGCAGGATCCTTCACATTGTCAATAGCTTTGTTATTGAGAGTGTGGTCTTAGAACCAGCAGCACTGGTATCCCCAGCAAGGGTTAGAAATGCAGAAGCTCAGATCTGCCCACCACAGACCTGCTGAATCAGAACTTGTAGTTCAACAAGATTCCCAGGTGATTCTTGTGCACGCTGAAGTTTGAGACGTGCCAGTCTGCAAATCATTGATACTACTGTACTCATCTGTGGGCCTAGGCTGCCTCCTAAATAAAAGAGAGGCTGCACAGAGCCAGCCCATCTCCTTGTCTGAGCCAGTGTCCTGATGAGAAGGTTTGGCTGACAGGACAGAGGCAGACACAGAGATGGGCCCTGGCATGCCCACACATGTGTGCACACGCACATACCCTCGCTCGTACACAGTTCATGCCAACCCAGCCACATTCTGGAGAAACATCGAGACTCCCACAGACCCTTGTAGGTCCAGGATACCCCTGCATGGTCAGTACAATGGAGATTTCTAGACACATACAGTCTTGCTGTTCTCCATGTCATTAGAAGTACATGGCTAGGCTCGGCGCCTGTGGCTCAAGCGGCTAAGGTGCCAGCCACATACACCTAAGGTGGCGGGTTCGAATCCCCAGCCCGGGCCTGCCAAACAACAATGATGGCTGCAACCAAAAAATGGCCAGGCGTTGTGGTGAGTGCCTGTAGTCCCAGCTACTTGGGAGGCTGAGGCAGGAGACTCGCTTGAACCCAGGAGTTGGAGATTGCTGTGAGCGTGATGCCATGGCACTCTACCCAGGGGGATAGCTTGAGGCTCCGTCTCAAAAAAAGAAAAAAAAAAAAAAGAAGTACATGGCTAGATGCCCAGAATCAGAATCAGGGGAAGGATAGGGGCTGGTTGTGGGCACTGATAGAGCAGCTGGCTGGTACTGAGAAAATGGAAAGCAAACAGAGGGGGTAGGTAGGGACCTTGGGGGCCCAGAGCAGACAGCCAGCTCAGGTTGACATAGTGATGTACTGTGGCTGGATCCCACTAGAGCCCATTCTGTATCCCTTTTCCCAATTCTGCATGCACTGAAATCATGTTGGTAGCTTGAAATAGGTCACAGTTGGGAGTATTTACACCACAGAAATTGGCAAACACTGCAAATCAGGTTTTTCTTCCTCTCAGAGAATTCACTGTAAAACATTAACCACCAGCACACATGAGGGAGGAGCTGGCAGCCCTGTTTGTATGTTGTTTCAATTCACCAGCAAACAATAGTTGGATTTCTTTATGGCAGGCTCTGTGCTAAGGGCTGAGGAGCCACTATGTTGAATGAATGCATGGATTTTCTGAGCCAAGGCTTTTAAACCTAGATGAGAAACAATTTGGAAAAAGCAGGAAAAAAAGACTAAGTCATCACTCTAAGCTGGACTCCATGTCAAACACGTGCTTGTAGTTTCTCCCATCTTTAGCTGTGTGACACACCGAGTGCCCCTACAATGGGTTTTCAGGGATGTGAGGGCCCATTATGGCAGTTGGCATAAGTACAGCATGTCACAACTCTGTGCCTCAGTGCCCTTTCCTGTAAAATGGGTGACACAGGGGGCTTGTGAGGACTGACAAGTCCAGGTATGAAAGGGGTTGATAAAAGCAAGTTGGGCAGCTCAGTGCCTGTAGCACAGTGGTTACAGTGCCAGCTGCATGCACCGAGGCTAGCGGGTTTGAGCTCGGCCTGAGCCAGCTAAACAATGACAACTGCAACCAAAAAATTGCTGGGCATTGTGGCAGGTGCCTGTAGTCCCAGCTACTTGGGAGGCTGAGGCAAAAGAATCACTTAAGCCTAGGAGTTGGAGGTTGCTGTGAGCTGTGATGCTGAGGGCGATAGAGGAGACTGTCTCAAAAAAAAAAAAAAAAAAAAAAAAAGCAAGTTGGGCAAGTGTGGGGGGTGTTCTTTCCCTTTGTGATGTTTAGTCCATATGTTCTTTGTTGTAAGTTTTTGGTCTTACTGAGAATTTTATTCTAGCTACCTTGAGTTCTGTGGGACTAGATCAATTAGTCCCTACAAAGGAGGATCCCAGTGATTCCTTGAGAGGTAGAGGTAGAAGGGGCTGGCAGCCATGGAAGCATGCACAAGTACCCCATCTATCCTTGGGATGCCCCACCATGCACACACACCCAGGAACATTTAAGGAGAGTGCTGACCATGTGGCTCAGGGCAACCTCAAAGACCAAAAGCCAAGTCTAGACAGAGTCCACGGCTGGAAATGGGGGGAGGAAGGCCCCTGCCCCAGGGGCCCACTAATTGCAGAGTGGTGGTACCTTGGGTTTGAGAGAGAGTGGAGGGGACAATTTAATTTACATAGAGAGTAACTCTTGTTTCCGAGCTACAAGTGCATGCCAAACTCTGGCTCCAGGCTGACAACCCTGCCTATGGACTGACCCTTAACCTTGCCATGTACAGACCCCTAACCCTACTCATAGACCCCAAACCTGCCTGTGGACTGACCCCTAACCCTGCCCATAGACTAACCCCTAACCCTTGGCCTCATAATGGCCTCTAATCTTCTGCTTCAACCTGACCCCTGGCCCTGACTTCTACCTAATAGGCATGGCCTATCAGTCACTGGGACCAGGACAGGGTGTGGCCAAGCAGGAATTCACTACCACAGACTCCCATCCCAAGCTGCCCCTCAATCTAACAACAGCCTAAGACTTTTTGCCTAATGGAGAGAATTCTCTGAGGATCTTTTCCTGGCATGGGGGTGTTTGGGCCAGGTACTCGTGTCACCAGGGGCACCATGGGCATGTAGTGTTGCTGGGTTCCAGAGCTCCACACGATGCCATGAAGATAAAGAGCCCACCCACGGGCAGCACCTGTGGCTCAGTGAGTAGGGCACCAGCCCCATATACCGAGAGTGGCGGGTTTGAATCCAGCCCCGGCCAAACTGCAACAAAAAGATAGCCGGGCATTGTGGTGGACACCTGTAGTCCCAGCTGCTTGGGAGGCTGAGGC